TTATCTTTGTTACTTTAGTATGGGTAAACTATAATCTTTGATATGAATCACATTTCTTCATAGGATAGTCTGACAATCCTTTTTAGTTTTCATGTCATTGGGGAAAACTCAGACCCCAGTAGAACAGGAAAATACAGTAAAGGAAAGTTGATAGTTCAGCACCTCTGTACTCAGAGATTTGCATCTAGAACCATGACCTTAGGCAAGATATATAGTCAGTATACAATTGGATTGTAATAGAGAGTTGATATGAAAATGAAAACAAAATAATTATGTCTAAAGTACTTAGCATAGTAAATTATACTTCACAAGTACTTCTTAATAGGGGTACTAGTTAATAATACTAGCAGGAGACTCTTAGCTGTTGCAGTATATATTTGTTTTTTTGCAACATGAATATTTACTATCTAAGCATTTCACAGTTCCTGTTTCAAATACAATGATAACTTAATGCTTTTAGTTCATATCAAGACAGAAAATAAAACTGCCTTCAAGAATATGAAGAAATGAGGAGTCTAATTTGCTCAAAATACTTTCTGTTCCTAAATTATTTGATTAAATATTTTTGAAGTAGTCTTTTGCATTATTTAATGGTTTATCTTTTTCATCAGATGAGCATATTTATAAAGATTCTTGTGTCTCTATATTTTTTAAGAAACAAAATATGATCTGCTTTTATATCCACTTCATTTTTTTTTCAGCTGTGAGGCAGCAGATGATAAATCAAAAACTAATATTTTCAACTCAAAAAATAAAAGTCTGTGACAGACTAAATATGGGCTAAATGAGGCTTGTGGATGATTTGTTCTAATTAGATGTAAGGTAAATGTTCCTGCAATTGTGACTTTTATTAAAGTCAGAACATGTGGCTGTTCAGGCTTTCTTGCATTGCCCTTTAAAAAAAATCATTTGAAAACATTTTGGGTCTGCTGTCCCTGAGACAATATGGCTTGGCAGTCTATGGGTAACTTAATAAGCTCGCCACATTTGTCATGCAGAAACTGTTCTTTATATGCAAAGCTGTCAGACAGATTGAGTATATAATTCTTCTTTGCATGAAATAATATGATAAAACTCCAGTATCAAATTGAATGCTGTACTAGCATTTGGAATCTTTCATGCATAGGTGGGAACTGTTTTACAATGGAAGCATTGTTTGATGACAAATACTCTTTTTGAAACATTCATCAGTTATGTTTTAATAGCAGGCATTATCCTCCTGACTGTAGGGCCACCTTTTTGCTGTTAACATCCTGGAAAATGAAGCCTGTTTCTCAGTTATGTTTGCTATTTGTTAAATGGTTAACTGTTCCAATTAGACTTCATGATGAGTGTTGTCAGTATTTTCGTTCTTCCTACAAAAGCCTAATGTACCTGATTTGGCTAGCTTCATGCTAGAGCAGACAATAGTTACCTCCCTCCTGATTTTGATTTAATCTCACCGATATACTACGTTTTAATATATTTGAAGCATCCCCACAGAGAATCATGTGTGGTATGTGCTCACAGGATGTATGTTGATATGAGCTGCAGGCGAATCTGTAGGCAGAAATTGTGGACAGAGTCCATGTGGCCAATTCTAGAAGTCTGGCATTTGCAGTTTGTTCAGTGGTGGACATCCTCAAACAACGAGCCCACCCATGTCAACTTCAAGGGTCTAGAAGGGAAAAGAAATGGCTGCAAATATGCACACAGCAAATGTGCTTAAAGCAGCTCTCTGCCAAGCAAGTTCCTGTTACAGAGTGGCCCAGTGCCAAGGCTCTTCCAAGCACTCCACTGCTACTTAATGTATTTGGTATGTGGGAGAAACTCATAACTCTGGGACTGCTTGTTGTACAACGTCTGTCACGTCTGTGTGTGAGCATTCCAAAGCCAAAGCTGCGCAGCCACCCAGATCAGAGTTGCACAGGGACACGCATTTGACTGGGGGGAGGGTTTAAAGGAAGGAAAAAGGCACCAAAAAGTACATTTGTGAAACTGTACAAATCTCTCTCTGGGTCTCTCTGTCTCTGTCTCTCTGTCTCTGTCTCTGTCTCTCTCTCTCTCTCTCTCTTTCTACCCCCTTCCTCTCTCCTCCTCCTCTAACTCCTTTCTTTCTGCTCCTCAAGGCCTCTCTCCTCCATTACTGTCTCCTCTCTCTGGCTCTTTGATTTTTTTTTTTTTTTTTGAAGGGACCTCCATTCTAAATCTATTAAAAACAATGATAAAATATTCATGGAGATTCTTAGGCCTGGGTTTGGCTAGCCTTACTTTTTCAGCTGATCAGCCTTTCTGGTTTTTCTTAACAAAGGAAAAACCAGAGCTTTTGCATCCCATAACTCCATAGCGAAGCCTCCATCTGGAATGAATTCAGCGTCTTTAACAAATATGTGTTCTCTATTAAAAAACCATCTAAAAATAGTGCTCAAACAAGTAAGAAAAAATATTTTGACATTTTCTTCATGTTTTGTGTGGTAAGCACAGTTTGAATCAGGCTTGCTGCTAATTTTCACAGGCTTAGGAGTCGATGTACTTTTGTGTGCATATAACCTAGTTTGCTCAAGGATGCTTTCTGATCCAAAGTATAATATGGCAAGTGTGTTTGTTAGCAAAGCACTGCCTTTTCACAAGTGAGCCTACACATCAAACTCTGATACAAGTATTCAAAGTGAAATGCTTCATTGAGGACCTCCCTGATGGCACCAGGGGTTAAACACAACACTGTGTAGCTATACGCAGCTTCTGCAGCACCAGTTCTAGCCCCAGCCGGCCAGGGAGGTGACCCACAAGGTGCAACAGATCTCTCCTGTCTCACCCGTTGCTCCCGTCAACAGTGTACTTCAGTCAGGCTGCCTATTCTGTCCCCCACTCTGTCTCTGGTGAATCCTCTCACCCCCCACACCTCTAGCCTATACCCCAGTTCTTGTATGCATAAATGAATAACATCTTTTTAAAAATGCTCCATCAAAGCTTGTGGACATAGGACAATACTGATTTTGCTTATGCATTTGCACCTGAAGAAAAGCACAGCCAGCCTCTGAGAGTGTGTTCACAGCTTGAAGTGCAAACAGTTCTGGTGGCCCTGACTTGAGAATCAAAACAAAGTTTGCCTTCTAGGAAAGCTGAGTCCTTTCAAGGACAATAACCACTCCAGAGTTTCTTCATCTATGTGCATGTGTTAGGCATCCTGAGAGGGGCCTTCTCATTTTATCCTATAAAGAAGTTACTAGTCACTCTAGAATAAGGAACTGAAGCTCAAAAAATTTAGCAAATTGCCAAAGGCAAGCTGGCTGGTAAATACACCCCCAGATCCTATTCCTTTTCCTCATGTTTACTTACCCTTTACAGAAGAAAAAGTGGTAATGTCTTCATCATTGGGGTTAAATGTATATTTAAATAATTAGAAAAAAATTAAATACAATTCTGTGTACTTTTTCCTTTTTCTAGCCTTTGCCACAATTTGATTTTTTTAATTTAAAGATTTATTTTTTTTTTATATACAAGAACTGGGGTACAGGTCAGAGGTGTGTGGGGGGGGGTGAGAGGATTCACCAGAAACAGAGTGGGGATCAGAACAGGCAGATTGACTGAATTACACTGCTGAGGGGAGCAGTGGGCAATACAGGAGAGGTCTGCTGTGCCATGTGAGTAGCTTCCTGGCCGGGAATTGAACTCATGCTGCAGTGACTGGCAATAGCTTGATAGCACTGAGACTTTAACCCCTGTGCCACTAGGGAGGCCCCACAATTTGAAGTGGGGTTTTAAAGTGTCATTTTAGACAACTGAAACTGAGCTTTTAAAAACAATACTATCGTTATTTTTTCATTGTGGTATATGTGAAATTTAAAAATTATTCTGAAATAATCATACGTATCTATATGTGTGTACATATACATATGCATAAACACACATATCTTTCCAACAAGTTCCCGGGTGACAGTGAAACCATTGGGATCATACAATATAGACATATGTACATATATATGTATGTGTGTGTCTATATTATATGCTTATGTCTGTATTGTGTGTTCTATCTGTATGTGCATGTAATGAGACATAGCATCTTTGATTATTTTTAACCTTGAAAGCCTATCCTTTTGTTATTTTGTGGAGATGACAAAGGAACAAAGGTCAATTTAAAGTTGATGGACATTTATAGAGATGTTTACAAATTAATGAAAACATTGTTATCACAAGACTAACTTCTGGTCATCCAGACATTGTCCTAGAATGTGCTGATTAAAAATATTCAAAAATTCTCTCAGATGATCAAAACAATTTCTGATCTGGAAAAAATAAAGATCACTGCTTGTCCCAGGCCATCTGTAGATTTTAGGGATATGTTAGCGGACTTATATTTGGGTTTCCATGTGTGTTCCAATGTAGCTGCACAGAACCAAGGACTGATGTGATGGTCAAACCATTTTATAAATCTAAGACATGAATATAAACAACCTAACTAGTGCTTAGTGTCCCCAGGTAGATAGCTAAGGGGTATGCTTGTCAAGACTGGTTTTGCTAAATTAGATTTATGGTGCCAAATTATACTTGGTAATTGTGTTTTAGAAAAGCCCAAGCAATTTGCAAAACAAACAACTGCCTGATAATTTAGGGTAGAATGGCATACATGGGACGTATTTTATACTGTCTTTCCCATTTTTGAGATGACTAAGCTGAGACTGAACATTATGAAGTGACAACCCTGAGACTTCAGGTCAGTGCAAGATGGTGAGAGTGTGAATAAAACTCAAATGTCCTTGTCTATGCTCTTTCTTCTACATCACGATTGCCTTTCTGTAAGCTGTTTTTTATTTTGAACAAGCTTTACTTCTGTTTTGTCTTTGATTTGCATCCATTTTTATGTACCAGCTATAAAATATCAATTCTAGCATCTTAAATTTTTATATATAAGGCTTAGAATGTATTTTATACTTCATCTGTGAGTTATATAAAAGCAAATAAAATGCTTTGTACTTAGACTGATGTCAACTGAGGCACAAAGAAAGAATAATTGACTTGCCTTTAGTATAACTATACATTCTTAATAAACTGTAGGATGGAATCTCTCCTGTCAAGGTTTGGAACAATGGTTCTCAAAGTGTGGTCCCAGTAGCTTTCACATGACCTGGAAACTTGTTAGAAAAGCAAGTTCTTGGAGACTTCCTCAGACCAGCTGAATCAGATGCTCTGTGGGTGGGACACAGCAATCTGTGCTTTAAAAGCTCTCCAGGTAATTATGATTCACATTGGCATTTAAGAAGTACTATTTAGATTATACTGATCTAATATAAACCAATGTTCCTCCCTCCCTCTCTCCCTACCTCCTTCTGTCTCCACCCTCCCTTCCTTCTTATTTATCATAGAAGCATGTTAGGTTTTTTTTTTTTTGCATAATTAATGTCTTAAATGTGGAGTTGTTAAGCAACCGCTATATCAGCTATTGTTGGGATTTCCAATGCGATTTAGAGCCAATTTTGTCACCCCTTTGTGGATGAGTGAACCAGCACCATCAATTTTGATATGATTCTTGGCGGGTGTTTTCCTTGCTAATTTCAAATGATTGCCTCTCTTGTTTGTCTCTGCCACACTTGCTACTAATTGGCATTTTTGTTGGCAGGCGCCGCTGAGAGGTCAGCCATTGCAAGCCGAGACTCCCAGACCCACTCACACACTTGCCCTCACACCATGCTGGTGATCCCGCCTGGGCAGGAGTATGGAATGGGATGAGTTAGTTGGGAAAGCTTCCTTTTTTTCCAGAACCTATGCCATAATTCTTCCTGAGATGAGTTAGGGTATCCTCATGCCTCAAGCTCTAGCCCTAAATTTCCTTTTCACCAACATTAAATTCGCTTCATTATCTTTGTCTGGTTGAAGAAAGACCAAGACAAATGACATTTGCAAATGAGAGAATCTTGAGGGCAAGGCTTTGGAGTGTTCCTAATGAGAGATTAGTTTTTTTTTTCTCTCTGTCAATGTTTCCTGTGCTGATGGGAATGCCTGGAAGTGGCTGCGGTTCCTCACAGATGCAGGATTTCTGATCTGAATTTCTGATCTTTGTCCAAAAATGGCTGGAGAGTGCTATGTTGCCTAGTCATTAATCATGATTATTAAGCAAGAGCAGAGCAGAGAGCTTCATGACTGCTATTTAACTGCTAAGAGCACTGAAAAGTAGATAAATCTCAAGTCAACCTTTTTTAAAAGAAAAGAATGATGCTAAGAAAGATAATGTCTCTCTAGTGAGGGGCCAGTGGTATTCAATAAATTGCCGCACAGCTACAGTTCCAAGAGTTCTAACAAGAACCCCCACCTAAAATAATGTTCCTGACACCAGAAATTCCCTTTAGAAAGAAACTTTGAATGCATTAGAAGAAGAAGAAATTCCTTGGGAAGAGAACTGTTGACTTAAAATCACAAAGTAGTACAGACTTATGATTCCTGGTTATGCTCTGGGTAGGATGCGGCACATTTTGTTGGATGCAAATAGAAAAAATTGAGAGCAAGATAAATGAAGACCACCAAGGGCAAAAAATGATGTGTGCCAAGGGGGATAAATTAGACAGCTAAAAACCAGCACTGCATGCTATCACTTATATATAGAATGTTAAAAAACCAAGATAAAGAATGGTGATTACCAGAGGCTGAGGTGGGGGAAGAGTTACATAGATGTTGCTTAAGCTTAGAAGCTTGTAACTGCTTGATAACTTCTGGAGATACAATGCATGGTATATACAATGCATTGTGACTGTAGTCCATATACTGTTTTTATTTTAATATATATTTATTACATCATCCTTCATTTTTGTACAATGTATGATTTCCCATGAAATTCCCTCCACCAATTCACCTGTGCACCATCACCATAGTCTCTTGTGTTCTTCCTACCCCTGTCCTGATCCCTCTCCCTCCTCCTGCCCTGCTGAATGTCTGTGGTGTATGGTTGCCTGTTGATTTTTGATTTTTACTTTATTATAGTTATTTTTCCTGTTCCCTTATTTTTATCACACACTGTTTTTAAACCTCAAAGTTACTGAGAAACTAGATCTTGTTGTGACCACAAAAAAGAGATGATAATTACGTGACCTGATAAGGGTATTAGCTAAGGCTTCTGTGGTGATCATATTGCAGTATATACATGTTCAATTTAACCCACTGCATTTAAACTTACACAATGGTAATGTTTATTATACCTCAAAATATCAATTATATCACAAGAGATAGTGAACTTACACATTATTTTGCATTTTTGCTGGCAACTGATCTTGCCTACAGATTTCTTCTGTCAAAGTGTTTTTCTCCAAGGGATGGAATCAATCCTAGATGATAGAAATTTCAGTCACATGTAGGGAAAGATTTTTACATAATGTTGTGTGTCTTCCCCTGCCCCCCGCCCCAGAACTGGTTCTGTAATTTGCGGGGTAAAGCACAAAACGATAATGTGAACATTTTTTGAATAATGTTCAGAATTTATTAAGATTTTCTAGACAAAACAGCAGAGAACTGAGCAAAAGCCAGGGTTCTAGGTGAGGCGTTCTGTGCATACATCTCATGCCCAAGAAAAACTCTTCCCTTATTCATTTTTCAAAGTATTCCCCTCTTTCAACCATTTCACACATTGATGGAATAATTTTGTAATGCTCTTTTCAAGCATTGTGTTAAACATCACTTTTGTTTTGAATATTGGTGGGTGTTTTCTGAAAGCTAAACATGTCTCAAAATCTGCCCCTACATTATATTTCAATTGTGTAATACAGGTGTTTCCCTTAGATTTTAACTTCATGGTGGACCAAAAGCAATATACACTCAGTGGAAACTGGGCTTCAAATTTTGAATTAGGACATTCTCTTTTTCACTTTCAGAATAGTACTCAATATATTACATGTGCTACTCAGCATTTTCTTACAAAATTGGCTTTGTACTAGATGATTCTGCCCAACTATAGGCTCATCCATGTGTGCTGAGCGCATTTAAGTTAGACTAGGCAAGGCTGTGTTCTGGAGGCTAGCTGTATTAAATGCATTTTCAACTTATGATATTTTCAATTTACAATGGGTTTATAAATGTAACCCCATCATAAGTTGAAGGAGATCTATAGTGAGATTTGTCAAAATGCCAATTCTTTCTTCTGTTCAAAAGTCAAGTGTCCTCAGAAGGAAGAACTGTCTTTTGCCTAAATCCATCATATCAAAAGCAAAGCTGGTATTGTCACAAAAGCTCCTAAAAATAATTTTACATTTTTTAGGAGATTCAAATATATCCATGTCCTCTCTGTACTTTTTTATTGTGTTTAGTTTACAAGAAAATTCTATCACAGTGTTTCAGTGGCACAATAAAAATGATAGGAAAGTACATTTTGCTTTTTTTATTATTCCTTTCCATGATATAATTTAGAATAAGGTAAATTTGTTTTGAATAAATATGAGTTTTTCTTTAGTTAATGCCTTTTAATCATGATCTCTATATTTTATTAGTTTCAATCTATGAAAGATCATTGTCATAAGCTTCATACTATTCTTGAAGTGAATAGGAAGGGCTAAACACAAGCAGTAATTATTTTGGCTTGCTAGCAGAAAATAAGTATTTTTACCTTTATCTATAAAATGTGTTTATATATGAATATATGTAAGGTAAATAAGCAGTGAAAAGGCATTCATAATATATGCAATTGAATTTTAAATGCTAATTATATAATACATAAAAGTAAGTGATCAAATGTTTCCTATGTTCTCTCATTTATTTCTAAATTATGAAGTAGATATCAACTTTTTTAAAAATAAAAAAGGTTGAGGGAAATTGTGTTGCCTATTTTAATACCCTGGAGGATTAGCACACAGCCTGTATTAATTAAAAAATCGATGCCTTTTCCATAACACTCTGCCATTTCCAGGAAAACATTTTAAAGTTTTCTAAGTATTCTTACTCTATTATCACTTTTTATCCCTCCTTCTTATATTAATACATATAATAAATATTCATTTTGGAGCAACATAGTTATTTAAGCTCAAGAAAGTAAGGTGAGGAGGCTGAGCTTTCTTAACTCACCAGGAGCCCATCAAAGAGTAGAACATTCCTTAATGGCCCCCAACTCCGTGTTCTAGCCCTAGACCTTGCCGGCTCTCCTTGGCGCCTCCTGTTCAGCTCTCAACCAACAGCATACATTTACCTCAAATAGTTTTTAATCCTTTGTAATTCTCTACCTATTTGTCATGTATTGAATTATTATTTTCTGTTTTCCACCATCTAAAGTAATAATTACCCTCCAACAAAAAAAGATAAACTATAGTCATTTTCATTCTGAAAATGTAGAACTCAGCTCTTCATTTAGGGACTACGCCAAAGACTGCTAATTGGATTTAATTTAATTGGAATAAAACCAAAGTGGCAATTTTTCTTTTGTCTGTATAACCTCACTCCTCGGTTCAATGTTCATGAAATATACTATGTTTGGTAAGATCAAATCCCTGGGGATACAATTGGGGTAGCTAGTAACTCTAGAAAAGTCTGAAAGTAATAACAATTTTTGTCTGATTCGGAGAAGCTTTTTTTTTTTTTTTTTTTTTTTTGGCTGTAATAATGTGTAATAAATTCAGAAGAGGCTGTACTGACTTCTGAGTTATTTACAAGAATGGAGATTTCAAGTGTGAGCAGAAAATAGATAATTGGCTTCTTTATTTTATCAACTCACTTAGTGGATCATCTACAGGGATTGGAAGTCTACGTCTCTGTACCACTCGCAGGTTTGCTGAAAAGCTGAGCAATTGTAACTTTGAAGGCAATTGTTAATGAATAGAAAATAGTGAATTCTTTAGTGACTTTGGTATATTTCTAGCTGGTTGCTTCATTAAATATAAAATATGCAAAAAATTAATTGTGCCTGTTAATCTGTACTTCTGTCTCATTTTTATTTGCATAAGTGAATAGAGTTTAAGAATCTATGGGGTAAAAACAAGTATCTTTCAGAATCATAGTACAAGGAACAGTTAACAAGGCTAACATCACAAAGACATAACTGGTCAATTAGCTGTACTTCTAGGATATTACTAAATGGTGAGTGATTTATTTCAATAGGTTGAAAATTTGATAATCTTGAATCTTATATTCTACTCTTGTTCTGACCTATTGCTTAGTCAGGTAAGTTACACTAAAACTTATAAATTGTGATTTGAAAGTTCTTCACACATTGTAGAAATAATTTATGCATTTGAGGACAAGTTGAGGAAGATCCCCTGAGGTCCTTCTCACTGTAAAATTCTCATATAATGATTCTAAGTTTATAAGATAGTGTTGAAAAACCATCTAAAAATTTTGTTGGACTAATTTTCAGGTGGAAAAATGCATTTATTTGCTTGTCTTAACCTGGAAGCTGAAATTCTAATCAAATGAATATTATGTTTTATAGGTTAAAGTTATTTTAGAAGTAGCACTTATTTATGAAAACTTTTTCCTTCCAAATGTAATAAAAAATCATAGAAAAATTCTAACCTCAAAGATGGAAGATGATATTTCCCCTGCTGAAATATCACTTAGGTCTTCGTAGCAATGTTGGTGAGTTGAAAGTACCAAGGAATGCTGGTCCTCACTCTTTACCCCTCAAAACCACCTCTATCTTTTAACAATTTCTTCACATGACAAAGACTCTAGAATAGTGACCAGATTTGAACTGAGAACTTTCTCTCCATTCCCCACTTTGCTGTACTCCCCAGCGGAGTGGGCTCAAGGCATGTCCTTTGCCTACATTGTTCTCTGCTTTCCTACCAGTCTGCACTGCCTCAGAACAGCACTGCAGACTTCAGTAGCAGTGTTAGCATTGCAGGGCTAGGAAATGGAGATCACATGCACTTCATAAGGTACCTTTCTACAGTCACAATACCTTGATTGGAGGCAAAACTTGCATTTGAGCCTCGAGCTTTCTTCTTTCTGCTGTTGCCTGTCCTGATCACAGCAGAAGAAATCCCATTTTTCTCAACTCTTTCCTCCTTTTCCCCTCTCCTTCCTTCCAGTAAAGCAAAGTGCTAACCCCTCTTCTGTTTGTAAAAGAGAGCCTTGCCTTAATACTTTTTATCCATCCATTGTTTTCAAAATTGTGTTATATCAGGTTGTGCTCCTACCCCCATGTAGTGCTAAACTATTTTGAATCCCATCACGATCCAGTGGGTTCTGTAGAATTTTACCACGCAATAGCATTTGCTGTATTCCTGGAAAGTATAGCAAACATTGTCTCCTAAAAATCTTGAATTTCTTTTAATTAAACCAAGGACAATTGGAATTGACCTTGGTTTTGCTTCAGTTCATGAGTTCTGAATCTTCTTCTGGGAATTGGCTGGTAGAGAGCAAGTTCCCAATCATAGCTGCTATTTTTAGTTTCAGAAGGACTATTGTGTCTATAAATGGTATTCCTTTTGTGGAGGCTAATGTTTTAAATGCAGTCCAAAATCAATTAGCTATTATGTGCAACCAGGCTACTTGTGAGAAAGGTAGCATTTCTCTTTTGTGTATGCTACCAGTATTGGGTGCCTAGACCACAGGGTAAGGACTTGAGATGGTAACTGTTGCTTTTCTGGAAGTAACTTCAGCCAATGATTTTTATGCATATATTCCCCTTTCTCTTCTCCCCAACGGAATCGTGTATTTATTCATTTTTGCCATGCAATCACAGATGTTTTGCCCCTGTGGCTGTTTTCTCTGACTCCTGTTCTAGCCCTTACCTATTTCTCTACAGGAACTTTTACTCCAACAAGAAGTCTTTTCTCAAAGGACTGTACTGTACCCTTGTTAATTATCAAATGTCGAATTTCAACCACCCTTGCAAACACCATTTAGCTAGTGGTGATGGCAGCGATATTTGTCTTGTTAAAGTCCCTGAAGTTAAATTACTGCTGCACACTTCTCCTTCAAGGCCAACTTGTTAGTTATGGTGGAAGTGAGCTATTGACTGGGATCTTCTCATTCACCTAGACTTCCTTTATTATTTTAAATGATCTCATGAGCTAAAGGGCAGTGATTTGCATTCATCCTTCAATGAATTCTACCTGACAGTCCTGTCTGCAGTGTTACTTGTGAGCAGAGCAGAAGGACTGAGAATGAATAAATTGTCTTGAAAAGCCATGGTTTTATCTACTGCTGTCACAGAAATGCTATAGATTTCAATTTCCTTGGCGGAGGAATGCTTAGTAACAGGAAGTCCAATATTCTCACATTTGTGAAGCCAGAGGAATAGTTTTTCTCCCACTCATTTCTCTTTCACTATTTTTGGCTCTCAGCTATGCTTTCCCTAAAACCTCGATTCCCCCATTGCTTTTATGGGGATTCCTCTGAA